TGTAAATGAAACTGTAATATCTTATTACCACAATTTCTGAGATCTATTCGATAAATAGCTGCAAATAAATATTAATGTGATAACGTAAATCAACCTTAAAGTCCAAAAGATCTGTTAAACTCATTTTAAATCGAGGAAACATTAATAGTGACAGAAACCATTTCAATGCGAATTTTTTTACTATATATAGATTTGTGAAAAATTCACAGAATCTGGCAAGCAAATGGAGAACTTCTGTTGTTGAACTGCAAGTTTATGACTTCCAAAGTTCAGTGCTATAAATAAAAAACATGAATAAATACTTTAAGTATTTGCAGTCGCAGAAAAAAATGTTGATTGCTTGCTTTCGCATTTTCATTGAACTCATTTTAAGCGTTGTCCCTTTAGTTCATTTGGTCTTATTAATTATTAATGCAACACTTGGTACTCAATCATAAAAGCAGATTAAAAGCTGTGAAATTTACTAGTTTTATCGACCTGCTGACATTTGCTGTCCAATAAAATGAGAAGGGTATGCACACTTGGGTTTTAAGACTCGTGCCTCAATATTTAGCATGAACTGTATAAGTAAAAGAAAATAAATAGAAAATTGTTCAAGATTTGTAAACGGTTTTATAAGCAATATTATTACAGCATTAAAGTAATTTAATGCCATCGAAACCACTCAGCAGCGGAAAGAGGAAAAATAAAATGTTCATGTTTATTTGTTTATACGAAAAAATATTTTCCTATTTTGCTATTTTCTTTTTTTATTTCGTTGGTTGTGGTTTTTGTTTTCGTTTGATTTTGCGCTGTTCAAGAAATTAAATACGACTTTGTCATTTGCAAATTCAACAGTTTTCCACGAAGCGTGCTGTCAGCCATTACAATCTCAGCGCAACCCACATTGAATATCTATAATTGTACATAGCCCCCATGGCCGCGAGCAGAGCTCCTCATAAATAAGAGATGGGTAACGAAAACAGCTTATTAAATGACTGGCGAAAATAGCTGAAGGTGCTCGGGATGGGGCCACATTATACTCTGAACAGCCAGACATATTTAGATGAACGTGCATATACATTTCGTGGAATTCAATATCTTTAATTTTGCTTTAGTACGCCTGCACAATGAGGCAAACATCGCCGTTCAGGAATTAATTACAGGTGATCAATACGTCTGCACCGCCTCCCATCACGAATGAAATATATGCCTGTTATATATGTATGTGTATGTGTGTGTTTGTGTAGTTTTTGGGCATTTAAGAGCTCAGCTGCTTGAGCTAAACAAATATTTAAGTTGATTGGGCGGGCGCAAATGTAAAAAGTTTGCACTCTAGAGTTCACCAAATTCGCATAAATTCTATGCGTGCCATAGCAGCCGTGAACTTTTTAATGTATTTTAAAACACTTTCCACTAAACATTTTAAGTAAACTGCTGCACAGTCAACGTCTTCCTCTGCCGCGTGTTCGTGTTCGTTTTCATCTTCAGCTCCATCTCCAACTCCAGCTCCAGCTCCAGCTCCATCTTGAGGCAGACGCTGGCGCTGGGCGGCAGAGACGCCAACTTGACTTCCTGTGCAAGCGGCAAAGTTTTGTTGCACTCCTGCCGCTGCTCCAACTTCTGGCTGCAGTTGCACTTGCTCGGCAAATTCCATGGAGGCTGAAATCAACTATTTCATTTTGGATTCAACTGCTGTCCGAGCATTGCAACACCACCACCAACATCTACAGCAACAGCAGCAACAACAGCAGCAACAACAACAGCGGCATCAGCACCAGCTACAAAATGGCAAATTAAACTAAATACAATCGAGTGAACGAAGCTTGAAATACTCTATCAAAACCAAGGCGTTTGAAGTGAAGCAAATGTCTCCTAAAAATCTCTGGAAAGAAATATATGTAACAAATCAAATTATGTTTGATTAATGTTCAGATTTTCCTTTCAAAAATTGTTAAGATAAAAACTTATACAGCAGAGTCTCGATAATTCGAAATGCCAAGGGGATAAATTTCTTCTTCTTTTTTTTTTCTTATTTACACAGAAATTTGAAAGTTAAATTAAATTTAATTAAAAGTACATAGTGATTTTTGTTTAAATAAAATGAATGGAACAATTACATATAAAGTATTACAATTGTTTAAGAATATATATATAATTATAATTAAGCTCAGAGTTCCTTTAAAAAATAGATATATAAGGTCTAAAGATCTATAATTAATTATTTTATTTGATTTTTATTTATTT